AAAAAAAAGGCGGCCGGACTGCCAAAAAACCGGCAGCCGCAGGGATCGCGTGGAGGGTGGTCAAGGCGGCTTGCAGGGGGGTGAAGGGCGGCACCAGCCCGCTCCCTCCGCCCGTGGGCAGCCAGGTGCTGCAGCCCTCTCACGCCGGGAGAGAGGGGCTCCCTCCTCTGCCCTTGGGATGCCTTTCCCGGCCGGGCAGGCTCTGTTGGAGCCAACACACGCAGCGCTGGCTGGGGTCTGCAACCTCCGCGCAGGGCCGGCATTGCAGCGGGGCTTGGCACAGTGCAAACGGCGCCAGGATCAGTGGGGCCCACCTCTCCGCTGCCCGCCGGGCCGCCTCAGAACCCTCCCTCCCTGCCACCGCTGCCCGCCGGGCCGCTGCAGAATCCTCCCTCCCTGCCTCTGTTGCCTGTCGGGCTGCCGCAGAACCCTGCCTCCACTGCCCGCCGGGCTGCCGCAGAACCCTCCCTCTTTCCAGTGCCCAGGGCCTGCAGGAAGTGCTGGCTCAGCCGCTCCTTTAAAGGCGGCTTGGCCGGGCCGGGCTCAGAGCAGCGCAGGAGGCGGAGGCTGGTGCAGGCAGCAAGGAGTGGCGCGTCCCGGGGAGCCCGGTGGCACGATGAGCGGCGGGGATGGCTAGTTCCTGCCCCCCCCCCCCAAGGCCGGGGTCCGTGCTCCTGCAAGGCTGGGCTGGCTGCCCCAAGATTGGCTGGAATGCTGCCCCTTACAATGTGCCGCCCCGGGCATGTGCTTTCTCGTCTGGTGCTTGGAGCCAGCCCTGATTAAGATGCATTTTGTTTGAATGGACCCAGCTTATCAAGAGATCTAGATCATTTAATGATGGGGCCAGGGCAGTCATATCATTTACCGTTCCGTCAATGTTTGTGTCAGCTACAAATTTGATCAGCATGATTTTATATTTGCCTCCAGACAATTGATAAAAATGTTGAATAGCATTGATCCTAGTACCGATCCATGTAGAGTCCCACTAGAAACACCCCCTTTTGAAAAAGGCGCCCATTGATAACTATTCTTTGAGATCTGTCAGTTAGCCAGTTATGAATCTACTTAACGTGTGCACTATTGGTATTGTATAGTGCTCGTTTTTTTAAATCAGAATGTCGTGTGATACTAAGTGAAATGCTGTACAAAAGTCTTAAGAATATTCATCTACCTTTATACTTTTATCAACCAAGCCTGTAATCACATCAGAGTGAAATCAGGTTTGTTTGACAAGTTCTATTTTCCATAAAACCATGTTGACTGACATTAATTATATTCTTATATTTCAGTTCTTTATCCACTGAATAACTATATCAGCTTTCCCATTATTTTGCCCAGGGTTGATGTTTTTCTCTGTGTCTGGTCAACAGGGGCTTTAAGTCCATTAATAGCTCTACCGTAAGGCTCTTTAGCTCGAGCTATAGAAAGTCATGTTTAAGTTCAATTCCTGGGGTCAGCCGCAATGGCAGACATCACAATTAGATATCATCAAGTGACTAATTGACCACTAGCCAAATTGACTATATGTACACTGTAAAAAGTGTAATTACATTATTAGATATGATATCCTCTTTTGTTGGCCATTGGTTTAACCAAAGTTTCTAAATGACCATTAGTGCCAAAATTAGTACTACTATATTCTTCTGGAGAATAACATGACTAGCCACAGAAGATGCATCACGAAAGGGAACATGAAATATCGGCTATCACGTAACTATCCATAAATGTTGGATTTCTACAAAGTGATTCTACTGCATCATAATTAAGGGTTTGAAAGTCAAATGATTTAAGTGCTAGTTTTAATTACTGCTTGGTGAACTTTAGTGTGTTAGAATTGTCACAACTTTCCTTGAGGATTAATCTCAAGCCAGGCAATACAGTGGGAAATTATTAACTCGTACTTTGGTTCAGCAATTATCTGCATTACAAGGTTTATGCAATTAGCTGTTTAAGATGTCATTATATTTTGCCATCTGGTACACAGGAGTTTATGCATATGAGCAGGCATGTATTGAAGTGATTTTCACTATATGACTCTTGATCTCAACCCAAATCATCACTATAATGAGTGGAAGACACAGTGTACAGTACATTAGTGGCAGGTGCATACTATCAAGCTTCATTTTAATAGAAGACTTTCATTTTTCCATTTTAAAGTATTCTGCACAAGTGCTGGGAAATTAATTACACGTTTGCAATTTAGTAAAGACCAAAGACATGTTATTGCAAAATGTTAAGGAACATCAGTTTTCAGAAAGGGAGCCACTAAATTTATGTTCTTTCCTTCTATACCATAGGGTCAAATTCTGCCTCCAGGTACCAACATGAATGTCTCATTGAAGTGAGTGAGAAATGTCTGCTCACATCCTAGTGAACAGAATTTAACCCTCCGTGATTTATTTGTGAAACTCCTAAGAGAGTGGTAAATCTCGCAAAGCTGTGGATCAAGGGAAATAACAGAGTAATTTACATTGAGAGCAAACTGATAGGATGCCTTGAAACCCACCGATGGTGTAATACCTGTGAAACCCTTGACAGTGGTTAGCCAGCTGGTGTGCAGTGACTGCTATCTATTGCTGTGTACATAACTGCCTGGTTGTCACCTTGTGTTTCTCCCCACTCCTGTTTATCTGTCTTTGCCATATCCACCTGTTGGCTCTCATCCTAAACTTAGTCCCTTCCCCACAGAGCTTACAATCTATCTCTTTGGGTATGTCTGGACAGTGCCTAGCTCAATGGCCTCCTGGCCTCCTGGCACCACTACAATACAAATCATAAATATTAACAGACCATTATATCGAGTTATGATAATACATGCTATTTCTACATATATGGGGCTCAGAGTACTTCATAATCATTAACAAATTAATCCCCCCCCATCACCTCTGTGAGGTAAACTGAGGAACTGAAAGGCTAAGTGACTTTATTGAGTACAGAAGAACTCTATAGCAAAGACCAGAATAGAACCTTGGGGGCCCCATATACAAGGGACTCTTCATATGCAGAAATACCTTTATGAATCAGGGCACTGATCCTTATAGTATTACAATACTATCATTCATCTGTAAATACCAGGCACGAAAAATGTATATAGATGAGGAGGGGGAAATTACATGGATGGGATGGTTTGAGTGTTCAGAGGCAGGGAACGGATTTTCAGGGGAGGGAATTTCCCTGGCTTCTCCCACTACCATCACTGCCAACTCTCCATTATACTTTGTAGATCTTATATTCTAAAGTGTAATTCAGACAGTCTCATTGCTTAGTTCCTGCTACCCCAGTTTCAGAAAGTCCTCCTTTTGTGAAAGGTATTTAGTATCACATACGTGTATAGTTCACAGACATGCTGTGAAATGTGGTCAATCTTCTAGCAAATCAAATCTCGCATGCATTTTTTTTTTTTTAGTATTGCTTCTCATCTTATGTTCTGGATACTCTTAATTGCTTGGAGCAATGAATAATAATTTAGATCCAAGGGGCTGGAAAAAGTCATCTCAGCAAGGTATGCTTCCAATTACAGCCCCTCAAATTCCCAGCATGAGAATTGTGCTCTCTGTGTCTGTTTGCACAAGTCGGAACTTCATTATTGAATTACATTAAAAGGACGCCCTCTAGTGTCCCATTTTATTACATGGGTAAAAGAAAAGTGGACTGCAGAGTCCATGGGGTTATTAATAATTATTATTATTATATTAGTTTGGGGTGGGAAATTTTTTCTCCTAAGGGATAAGTCACTCAATGAAGCTGACATTAAATATCTGTATGGAATAGATTTAAAGTGTTCCTTCAGATCAGAATGTCTGAGATTTTGCATGAAAAGATTTTTTCTACAGGGCTGAGGGAAATGATCCCAGAAGCCCTAACAAAAATATTACACAAATCTGTGCACACACACTAAGGTGCAGAACTTGCCTCTTCTAGAAAATCAGTGTTGACGGGTCTGTGGTTCATTTTACCGTTAGTCAGAGATTATTACATAATATATAAACACTTTTCTCATATAACAATGTATATATTGTTATATGAGAAATATAAAAATGCTTAGAGAAATATAAGAGTATTTCCCACATTCATGCATGTGCAATGATATCCATCTGGAAAATAACTGGAAATGTTTTTCGAAGTGGAGCCAAATACTCACTCAGCCACAGTGCCCACTGATGAAAATAAACAGGTGATAAATATAAAGTAAGGGAAAATTAACATTCAGAAATGTGCAATATGTTTGATCCCCAGAACAAAACAGATTAACAATTAAAATCCAGGCAGGGAGCTTGGTCCTGAAACTTTTACTCTAACACAAGTAGCCCCATTGACCTCAGTGGAGCTATTCAGATAAGGAAGGATGGCTAAGGTGAGCAAGTGTAGCAGGATAGGACTCATATGTTAAGTTTGCTGGACCAAATCCTCACCTGATATAAATTGATGTGTGAAGTCAATGGTGCTACACCAATTTATACCAGCTGAAGATCTATCTTCCTAGATCAGTATGTCCTCTAACATCCAACCACCCACTTACCCTTCATTTTATTAATAATTTATTTCTTCTTTACAAATATTCTTGTTTTCTGCAAGAAAAAGCATCTCTTCCTTTAAATAAACATAAACCAGTCTTGGGAAGGACTGAAGCATTAATTGAAGGTCACTGGAATTTTTCTGATCATTACAAATCCATTGCGAACAGAGCAGCCATTGAAAAGTGACACTGATGAATGAGGAGGGCTGCTGGTTTCCTTGGAAAAGTTGGGTTGTTAGTAGTGAGAAATGTGTCATTTATTTTCCCAGGAGAATGTTACTTTTTTTCTCTCCCTCCCCCTCCTCTCCAAATCCTTTTGAATTGTGTAAATATCCATGTTTGCAAAAGTTAAGATGAAGACGACAGAGCAGGATGTAATTCCACCAGGATCATTCCCCTTTCCAACAAGCAAGTAATTAGAATAATTAAAATTGGGTTCTAGTAACATATTATCAACACACCAAAGCTTAACAACGCAATGGTAAATGTGTGGAAAAGATGCTGCATCTACATATTGGACTAGAGAACTTCATCTTGGTTGTATTCTTTTGGCTTATAGTTGTCCTTTTATGTCTGAGAGTGGAGAGTCGTCTCCTTCCCTTACATGCATTTCATAAACCCATGCAATGACCTTCCCTTATTTTATATAAATCCATACTCATATACCCCAGTACTCTAAGATTGTAAGACAACAGTCAAAAAAACTGCCTTAGCACTATTGTGAACTGTAATGTTTAAAGCCATTACTGTAGAATACTGTTATGTTCTCATAAGGGGTTTATATTTGCAGAGGAGCTGTCTAAAACTGTGACTACGGGGCAAAATTACTGTGTCTTGCCAGACATCCTAGAATACTTATTCTCAAGGGCTGGTGCATATATCAATACAGTTACCTCAGGGTTTTGCCATTGATTCTGGTTAAGCATTCCCCATTGCAATCTCCTCTCTACTTTAATGATAAATTCTGGGCCCACACTTTGGGCTGATCCCCTGCTGCCTGCCTGTCAATTACCTTTGCATGCTCTAATCTACAGCAGATTTTAGGCTACTCTGCATCCCAGCCTGGTGCTTTGGAGCAGCAGCAGGACCGGATTTAGGGGCAGGCGACTACCTGGGGTGCCAGCCTTGGGGTGCTGTAAAGTATTCAAAAGTTTAACAAATGGAGGTGGGCACTGAAGATGCTCCTTGCCTGCGGTGCCATTTGGCTTAGGGCCAGCCCTGAGCAGCAGAATACCTTTTGGAGAAACCCAGGCTCCATGGTGGGTTAGATTAGCTCCATTGAAGGGCCTGAGACTGCAGGTCTTTCTGATTCAGATAATCCCATTGAAGACAGTGGGATTATTTGTATGAGGGTGGATTTGTATGAGTAAAGTTTTCAGGATTGGGCCTTTAGAGGGTCATAGAGGTGGGAGATTTCCTGCTGCAGCAAAAGAGAGGGCAAGAAAGTTGCTGGAACAGCCAGGAGTCTTCGTCTGGTAAACTGGTACAGGTGACTAAAAATTTTAGGAATCAGCAAGGAGTGTTTTGTACACCAAATACTGGCCTGCACTGTACAGATTATTCAGATCTACTCCAATGTAAGGGCTACATTTTCAAAAGCGTCTCAAGCCTGTCTTTAATTTCGACTGACAGTCCCTCTAAATGCATACTTAGGTTGCAAGCTCTTTGGGGCAGAGACCATCTCTTTGTGTTTGTAAACTGTCTAGTACAATGGGGCCTTGGTCCATGATTAGGGTGCCTAGTGCTACAGTAATATAAATAATGACGAGATCATTAATTGATAAATGGGCATTGTTATCTGTATGAGTAGTCGCATATGTAAATTTCTCATTTGCATGGGTCACTGATAGTGCACACAGACCTATGTGCACAAAGTAAGCTCAGAACTGTACACAAAATAAGAGGTCTTGTTTAGACAATTTGAAGCATTTGTTGTTAAGTTGCACTTCTGTAAGATTACAACACCGCAAAGGGAATATATGCAGGTACAAATACATAATAATGCATATTGGTGTGGTTGTCTGAATGCAGAAAAAAATGGTAATACTTTGAAGGACTGGAGCATTGTATAATTTTATTTTCATTCCATATATATTCCATACATAAAAGTTCAGGTTGTGTGGTTTCCTTAAAGCAGAGGAGATGTAATAGGTGTGTTTTATTGTCACCTGGGTTTGAAGATCATAAAGAATCACTTGAATAAAGATACCTGACCTAGAATCAGTGCTTTGGTTATAATTCGATCAAACCCTTCATTGTTGAGCCTAGCAACAACTGCAGTCACAAGACCGCAAGCTCCCCTGAGGCTGTGAGGATGCTGTTCCTAAATTCACCACTAGGGGTGATGAAACTGGGACTTTAGGAACAGTGGCTTTGGGGCAGGGATGTTGTCTGGTTTCAGCTGCAAGTTTGTGGTAATTTTTCTTCTGGATCCTCTCTTTCAACCACTTCATTCTGTTGGGCCGTTTCAGTGTGACTGTGCAAAGAGGGTCTTGCCTACTTACTGGAGCCAAAATACACATTCATCATTCCGCAAAGTACCAGGTAGTGTTACATGGCCTCTTGGACCTGGCCCTTCCCCTGTGCAATGTTTATGTGAATGAAACAGAAGCCTGATAAGCTCGGCTCCTTGGGATCCAAACATATTTTTCCACTTGGTGTTTGTATATGCAGGTGAAAATCTTTAAGATTATGCTGCAGTGGAGTTGCTGGGGTGGGGGAGGAGGTGTTCCATGGAAACACGTTGTGAGGAAACACGCTATAGCACGTCCCATTTGTTGAGGCATAGGCCTTACGAAAGGTGATACCCCGGGATTGCCTCTAGGTGGCGCGCTGACCGTCTCACTCCGTGTCAAGGGATGACTCAGGGGAGCACATTCAAATGCCTTGCACACAAGCCAACTACTCCGAATAATACAGAAATACTTTAGTTACCACTCTTGATTTTGGGAAATAGAAAAATCCCAGCCTTTAGGGTCTAAGGCTGGGGGGGGGGTGTACTAAGGAAGAAAGTTTTAACTTCAAGCCATATTAAGTGAAGTCACCCCCTCCTTGCTAAAGACACATTAGCCTGCAAGCTAATTCCCCCAGCCAGATTTCCTGTGTGGAGCTGGGGTGAGGGGCATGTGATATTGCCCAGATGAAGTGAACAGTGGACGGGGCCTGGATATAACGTTTACAACTTTTCTTTTTGGGAATGAGGGTAGCGGGCACCAAGATATACGACAAGGGAGAGGGGGAATCAGCTCCACTTGTAGGGGAGGGGGAATGGGGTAGATGAATGGACAGTGTGGGATGTCTGCGTCTCCCATGGCACCTGTTACAGCATGAGTCGGTTCCAACCCCCGTGCATCTCCCCAGTACCAAAAAGAAATCTGGAGCGTCCAAACTGTTCTCCGCTGGCTCGCTCCCTTTGAAAGTCTGCGGCCAGCGGGAGTTTTACCAAGTCGCTCTACGGATCGCGCCTTCCAGCTCAGAATGAAGCTGTTCTTAATATGTTTCATAAGACAATTTGTTAGCAGCGGTGCCTCTTGCTAAGGCAAGCAGGTGGTCAGGGACCCCTTTGCAGATCAGTCGAGCCGTGGGGAACTGCCAGGCTCGGCGCAAAGACCATTCGCCACCAGCGCTGGGGAACCGCAGACGTGGTTTTCCTGCGTGCCTTTACTTTGGTTTTTCGGTTCTTTACGCAGCCCAGAGCCGTGTGCGCTACTGCTGAAGTCTCTGTCCCCCGATTGTCTTTGGGAAAAGAGTCTAGCAACGATACAACCCCGTTCACATGGAGCTCCACTGACGTGCCTACCGAATAGCGGTCGATTGAAAGCAACGGGGATTGTGGCCATTAGCTTAAATGGGAGCTCGAGCGGGCCTTTTACTTCTGTTCTTTGCCACGATGACTGAATGAGAGGGACTGCTCCCAGTGAAGTCAGTGAAAGTTCAGGTGGCAGTTTGGTCTGCATAAAGACAAATCTCCTATGAAAGTAGACAGGGGCTAGGCTCCAGAAATTAATATAATTAATTAATATATATAATATAAACGAAAACCAGGTAAAATCTATATTAAATTGGATCTATGCATGATTGCACCACGTTTTACACTTTTAGACATAGCATTTTTCTATTTTCTCTAGCTAATATATTACTAGTTTGTTTGTATATCTTCCTTAATCTGTTGCCTAAATTATTGCCACATTATGAGTACATGGTGTTAGGCAGTGCGTCAATCCTCCTTGATTTAAAAATAGTAGAATAGGGTTTGTTGGTTGGTTTGTTTTGCTAGGAGATAACGTGAAATGGCAATACGTAATTGAGTAGTGATTAGGTGTGGAGACCAACAAATGAAAAAAAATGTATTTGGTTACACTGCTTAAAACATTAATCACATAACGTTGTTACGTTATATTAGCAAAATATCCTTATCATCAAAAGCTATTTATCTTTCAATCTCCCCAATAGAGCACAGCCTGCAATGTGTATTATTATTTTATGGTTTTAATTACATGATGTCGGTTGAATATATTTTACACGTGGTATTTAAACAATTAAAGGCAACGTTATTAAAAGTACTGGACTAAACTCTGCCAAACCTCGTAAGAGCACGTTACAAACACTGGAACAGTGAACACCAGCTGTCTTTTAATTCACTGTTAACTTTTTAAAGAAAACCAGTCGCACTGCAGTTCAACTTTGTTTTGTTCTGCGGCCTAATGGGAGTTTGGGGGCTAAGGGGCTGAACCTTAGTTCTTTCCTATGATCCCACTGTTTAAATCGAATTAGACAGTAATTGATTAAAAAAACATGTATTTAATTTGAAGTAAGTCCTCCTGTATCATTTTAGTCATTACATGCAAATTACAGACCTCATCTTGCTGTCTACTTCGGTAAAACTCCCTTTGACTTCTCTGAAATTTGGCTTCAGGATCAGGCCCTGTGCATTGTGATAAGGAGTCAGTATGCAGCACTTTTCCAGTCCCTCCGGAGTGGTGCGGGGTAGTAGTTTGCACTAAAAAAAAAAAAAACCTAGGTTACTTTAATTTCACCAGCCAAAAGACAGGGAGTGACTCTCTCGTAATAGACCTTCTGTCGGATATTGTGAGTATTTTGTGCCAAAATACAGAAGGTGAACTTCTAACATTCACAAAGCGGGTGTAGTTGCAAGTCACTCTGGCATGGAACTAATGATCCATGAACACGCACATTTCATAACAGGGGAAAGTAAAACTATCTAGCAACTCTGTGGCCTAGCAATGAAATCAAAGCGTGTCTCAATATTTCCTAGAAAGGATTAGTGACCAAGAACTAACAGACGACTGTAAAAAAAAAAAGGACCTTTGAATAAAATAATCTAAAATGAAATGCTGGGTTGTGGCTTTTCAGAGACCAATTTGTCACATGTGGTAACATGCAGATAGGGATGAACTAGGATCGATTCGGTATCACCAGCGACACAGGCAGTTAGGCCCAATCCTAGACTGATGCCAGCCAAAGGAAGTTTATGGAGGAGATCTCTAATCTCTGCAAAGGCAACGAGGCCCGATCCTGCCTTGAATGAAGTCAAGGGGCGTTTTAGGAGCACGCCTCCGAGCTGCGTAGATTGAATAACTTTATATGATTAAATCTGCTCGACTTTTTTGTAATGACCCGTAAGGCAAAGCAATGACCAGGATAGATGCAGCCAGTGCTGGGCACCCCGGAGGTGTGTCTGACACGTGCCAGGCTGGAGAGGGGGCTGGGCGGAAGGGAAGGGGGTGAATACCCTGGATGTGCTGATCGCCGCGGCTCTGTTTATAGGCTGAAGTTCCAACCCGGCCATAAAGATAACAGACGCCATAAAGTTACTAATCGGAGCCCCAGGCAGTGAAATGATAATTGCTCATAAATTGCTCCTTTGGCCCAAGGGTACAAGTGACTTCAGCGCTGTTGTACGACTCCAAATAAATGGTTTGGGGGGGGGGGTTTATGCTTAAATTGTTGACTTGAAACGTGTGTGTGTGTGTCATGCACATCTGTCCAGCCTCAAGTCAGATAGCCAGGGTGAACCGGAGTCTCTTGGTGGCTCTCCCCCGCCCCCCCCCCCACTGGAGCACACCCAGGATTGGGGGAGGGAGGCAGCTTCTGCTGCCCTTGCTCGGGAGCTTGGCGCCCTGTAGGATCCAGGGTGCTGCTGGGCCGTGTCTCGTGTGTGCCTTGCAACACCCCAACTGCCCACAGCCATTGTCATCAGCGCTCTGCTCTGGCACAGCTGGAAACTGACTCGTCCCTTGCTGCTCGGCTTGGCAGGCCGGCCGGCCCCATGCAGCGAGGGCCCGTGACTTGCCGTCTTTGCTGGACGTGAAAACGGATCGAAATCTTCCGTCCTCCCCCCGCCGCGCCCCCTCCCTCCTGTTTCCAGGGAGGATTCCTCCCGGGCCCCATCCTGCTCTCCCCGAAGGCTTTAATGGCGGCGGGATCGGGCCCTGCCGGGGCTATAGACGCCTGTTGGCGTCAGGGTAGATCTCACTCTAGGGCGCGCAAGGAGTGCAGGGTGCAGCCTCCCAGCTGGGGGAGAAGCGCCCTGGGCTAGAGGGAGCTGTCTAAAAGGGCCCGCAATCCTTGCCCCAGTTGGGGGGGATCTGACTCCTGAAGGGTTTACAGGATACATTGGAAATCTCCTGGACGCTGGGTATGGCCATGAGTATGCGGCAAAGGGCTTTGCCCTCCAACTCTGGCTGCTCAGCTAACCTGGGTTTTCCGGGCAGCAGGAGCTGAACTGGTTTCTAGTGGGGATTGGAAATGGTCCCTGGGTTCTTGTAGGGGGCTAGGCTGGATATAGGACGTCCTAGGAGAGATTATTCTTAGGGGAAGTGTCAGCTTTGTCTCCCAAAAGAGCACCACGATCAGGAGTCAGGCAATGGGCAGGCCTCCTCTGTGTCACTGTTGCTTGTCTGCGCTCCTGGGGGACAGCAAAATCACTCTGGACCCCCCTCAACCTACCCTGGGCACCTAACCGCTTCTGTGGAGGGACAAGCTCGCCTAAGCCCCCTGGCAAGGTTGCCTTACTGTGTTGATCTTATTATTTGAAGTTCTCCGAGGTGCCTTGAGCCAGGTAAGTCAGTGGAGAGAACAGAAGTTCTAGCTCTAGGCCTCATAACACTCACCCTTCAACCAAATTCAAAAGCCAAATGGCGAAACTGTCTCTTCTCCGTGGGTTGGGCTGTGGGCAGAGGTTTCTTTTATGATCTGTCTAGTCAATTGATGCTCCCCCCACTCTGAGTTTTGTGCTGATTTGGCGTCAACCCCGACTCCTGTTAAACTTTCTCACCCTCTCATTTAAGGGGGGGAGCATACATGATTTTTTTCTCGGTAGTATTGATATATATTCTCTCAGCGCTTTTCTAACAGACTTACATGACTTGCAGCCTCACATCCTCTAAATAAACAGTCTCCGCTTTGATTTGTGCTAATTACACTGATGCTGTGATGTGGTTTAATTTCAATAGTGCTTGCAGCAGTTGAAAATTTCCTACAGAGTTGGTGGGAATTTTTTTTTGGCATGATTGTAAACTTTATCTTCACCTTCAGCTTTATATTTATAATATTATATTATCAGGTGGATGGAGGGTACTAACTGAGGCTCATGAACCTGAGGGACTTCAGCACCGGCCTTTGCAACTGTAGTGTGAAATGCTTAAATCTTGGAGAGAGGGTATTTCTACAAAGAAAAAAAACCCCAAAACTTTATTACATACACTGTTCTAAATACTGGACTAGTAATGTAGCTTTCTTTTACCTTCTGACTTAATTTTTTAACTCTACATTTTCCTCTATGAAGTTGTACCATTTTCCCAACTGAAGGCCAGAGGTAACAGTTTACATAGAGGTTTAATGTTACACCGACGATTTGTCTGTAATCTTTAGAGTCACGGTATGTTAGAACACAATGCCAAAATTCTCTTAGTGTACAAAGTTTGGAGCCTAGTAATAAGTTTTTAAAATGCCAAATTAGGTTTAAATCTATATTAATTTTTTAAAAATTGTAAGGAGTGAAAAATAAAGCTGAAGATTTGATTTGTGATGGGGCACTTGTTCCCTCTTCTCTCTCACTAACAAGCTTTGAGTTAGAGAAAATGTTTGCATCCCACTAGTGTGCTAGTCCCTTTGGGTGTTTATATATAAATCCCCATTTTAACACAGGTATGTTATACGTATCAGTTGTTTGTAGACATTATAAAGTATAATGTGTGTGTGTGTGTGTGGTTATCTTATCATACAGGGAGTTTCAAAAGTGTCTCGGTGACTTAGGAAAACAAGTATAATTGACTTTCAATTAAACCTGTGGCTCTAAAGCCACTTTTGAAACTTCCACCCATAATGCGTGTGTATATATTTCTAACTTCGATTGACATAAGAGAACAAAATGGCACTCTGTTCACATCAATAATCCACCGACATGGGTCACAATAGTAAGAATGGACCTAGTAGACCTTGGAAGGAAATGTTATGATTTATTGTCAATACGGATTATAGCAATGCTACAAACACTTTTCAGATTGTCTTTCGCTACCATTACAAAATGCATCTAGAATGCACATGCAAAACTGCATTAGTTGTGCTAAATGCCTAACTTGAACATGTGAAAACATTCTGTGTTCAGGCTTCCACTCAGTCCTTAGGTAACTCACCAGCCGTACGTTGATAGGAGTGTAGCACCTGTGCTGTGTTCCGTTTCACACCGACTCCGATCACTGTAATACCTCGTCACCAGAGGGCAGGTGACAAGACGGAAGTGCTGATTACGAATGTCCTTGCTTTTATCGATTTCCATTCACCGTCTGGACGTTACCTGAAGGGCTTTGTGTTAATTGCAGGGATTTACAGCCAGTTAATAAAACAAGAATAGTAACAGACATAATATAAATGTTGTGCAAACCCGTGCTGGCAGGATTTGCAGAATGACTCAACAGCTCTTAATAGAGGCACCTCGCTCTATTTTAAATGCATCTATGAATGCCGACTAAAAATATATACATTTGACAAGTATCCGTCTCTACTGTAGAATTCATTGGGAGCCATAATACATATATAAATAGAGAGAGAGGGTGAGTGTGTGTCCCCCCTGAAAGATACTATAGATATACATATAGGTCTTTCGGGAGCCTTCTGGTGCATTTTGACCACAACCCAAGACCCTTTAAAGAAAGTTTAGCAATTAATTGTTGGCATAAGAGATTATAAAGCAAGGCTGCCTTTCGCCTCTCTTACGTGCAGATGCCTCCCTGGTCTCTCTTCCCCACCATACGTTCTCCAAAGAAACCTCTACTGAAGCGTGTCCAGCGTGTGAATACCTTTAAAGCCAAGCTTCGTCGCAACTCAGTTCTAGTGCGTTTCTTTTAAAAATTGTGTGAGAGCGAGCAAAGGAGAGAGGGTTTTGCTTCCCAGTGACCAGATTCCCATAGAGTCTGCGTTAACGTCAGTTTCACCCTCTCCTACGTGCTTGTCTCACCGTCTAGTTTTGTTCAGACTTTATTTTCTTCCAAGCTGCATTACAGAGCGCTTGTCCACGCTGGGGGGAAAGATCCTTTTTTGTCTTTTATTTCCCACCTCCCTCTGTTCAACAATCCGGATTTTTTTTTCTTTCTCTTTCACTGTGTTTGGCTCAGATCTGGCCACAAATAGCTTATCTCTCTCTCTCTCTCTCTCTCTTTCTGTGTGTGTGCGCGTGATTTAAAGTGGCATAATTGAGAGCTGGGGCTGGAGCAGTGAATGATTCGCTGTGATAAATCAGCTTGGCTGTCTTCAGTACTGTACTTCCATTATTCATCTCAATGCGTGTTGGTTTATACGATGGACGTAGACTGCGGCAAAAAAAAAAAAATCATCACAACACCACCGCGCTGCAGCTGCTAACCTCTGCATCAACAGCAGCAGCGGCTGGTGGAGGACCGGGCACAGCACGGATTGATTATCCCCCCCCGCTCCCCCCCAAAGCTCAGTCCAGCGCAGCCATTCGAAATGAATTGACTGTAGAATAACCACTGGATGAATGTGGATTCGGTTCTCTACCTACGGCTCATTTTGTGTTTTGGGGGTTTTCTCGTGACCTTTTTTCCCCCCTCTTACTTTTTCTGTACCTTAAATGAAAATGGCTACCATTGACTTCATGAATAATTGGGAAGGCAGACTTGGCAGCTTATGAGACGATGCTTTTTTTTTAAAACACCTTTTATTTTTTTCCCTCCTTCTCCACCGATTCATGAGTGTACAAGGGGGGGCGGGGAGAACGAGGAGGGGGGGGGGAATATACAACTTTTTTTTTTTGGTAGTGATCATTTTTATTCTGGCTTTGTGCCTTTACTCGGAGGAGTTAAAACCATCCCTGCTGCGAAATCAATTGTCGAATAAAAATTGTGATTTGTACAGTCTCTAGTACCAGGGTCAATGTCAGTTTTACGTTGATGTTACTTCCAGCGATGCAGATGTTAGAGCGGATACTGCAGTCCTAGAGTTTACCTTCTGTATGTGCAAATAAAAGCAAATGGTTCTGGATTTTTAAGATTGAGGATTGACTAGCTCATAAAAGAAGTATATGATTTGTCTGGGGCGGTGAAACGGGGTAACAATGAATCATGTTCCGTTGTTATGTTATTGATTGTGTCTAAATATTAAAGTGACATATACAAGGATTCTGGAAGACAGGTCTGGTGTATACAGGAGAAACAAGAAAGTGGGGGGGGGAATCTCGAAAAATATTTTCCATTCATAAAAATGTCAGAATGTTTATACATGCCTTTATTTCTGTATCTGACTAAATAGCTAATATGGTATTGCCAGCTTCAAATGATAATTGCAATGTCGGTGAGACCTAATAATACAGTAGCACATATAATTTTAAACCACACCTCACTGTTTACTGTGATATAACTTTCCCAAAGTTTATTTGTGGCATTAAGAGAGTTTAAGTGCAGAACAAATTGAAAATGAGCAGCTCTGTTTCTATACATACTGTGTGTGGCTACTAGAGTTTCTACAGTTAGGGACAATCCAAATCTGAAGAGGATTAAAAAAACACATCTGTAGGGAAATGCTTATTTCCTGCCAAGGGGGAAAAAATCTGCAGGCAGAGCTTTTCCATGTTCCAAATGGAAAATTATATTATATTTGATTTATGCTAAACTGCAATTGTAACAACACACCTGTTTCATAAAATGAGAACAGAACTTTAGAAAAAGCTACATTTAAAAAAAATATGAGTTCACTGCATTTACACAGAATAACTGAGTCCCCTGTTGTGATGTGTGAGTGTATACAGAAGTAAAACAGAACAAAAACCAAATGAACAAAACCAGGATTCATTAGTCCCTTTATAATCACATTTCCGTGTGTTTGTATTGTGTCTAGTTGCTAATAGTGTTAGCACTGCAATTGTCCCAACTTGATATGGAAATTAACACCCCTTTAAGATGAATAGAAGAAATTCTCTCCTTTTCTAGTGCTATTTTAGTCTGTTTCCAGAAGGTAAGTAGGTCATTGATTACAACAGCTCTACAACCACAAACTTACTTTTTTCAGAAGAAATATTATATTCTGCCAAATAAAGCAACCTGTGCAGAAAGATCCTGCCTGACCCCATGTTGCCAATAACTAGGGATCTAGATTGCCAATACTTATAATGCAGCAGGTCTCAGAATTACAGTAATGAAGACTTGAAAAATGTTCTGATGTTGAAGCTAATGAATTTATTAGATGTTATACAAAACCTTTAGACTTTCTGAACAGCGGAGCAGGAGGCAAAAAAAAGGTAGTTAAACTTGATCATATAATTTACTTGTTTAGAAAACCTAGAAAATGCTTCGACTCGAGCACATGCTGACAGAAGCACTATGCACACAAAAAGCAACAAGTAAACATTGGAATTTAATAATCAAACCTGAAGATTAGTATTAACATTTTAATCACTAGTGCTTCCTTGGCGAAAATGTTTAAAAATAAAAAGTGGATTTTGTAAAACTCAATACATAGAAAAGTTTCTGTCTTCCCTAGAGTGAATTCTACAACTTGCGTATAATATTTTCACATTTAGAGGAGATTTAATTTGGGCTTGTAGGAGTATTTTGATAACATAGAAAAAACAGATAAATATTGGCAAAACTTTTGTTCTCTTATATTTTTAAGTTCTCTTTACATCTTAGGAAAGTGATCAGCGTTCCACTGGCACACATTCTTACCCCTTATTTGGACACCTACCTCATATGATGGATTACACTATTTTGAGAAATAAAGGCCTCATACATTCTCTAGTTCTTGGAGTGATTTGCAGACAGACATCATTCAACATACACAGTACCAGAAGCAATAATACTGAAAGGTCAGGTATTAGCATGCTGAGATTCTTCATGCCCAATCACCGTCCCCATGCACAAAGTTAGGAGAGATTTTGCCTGAAAAGTAGGATGCTCGTATTTTACAGACTTATTTCTAATAAAGAAAAATGCAAGGAACAAACATAGTACTTAAACAGATCACTAATTATTGCAGTTTGAGAAATATTATGTCTCGTCTTAATTTTAAACTTTATTGGTCACAGAGAAAAAAAGTTCAACATAGAACAATAGAGGAAAGAATTCCAAGTGTGGTATAAATAAAAGTCGTGAGTAGTCTTTCATTATACTCCCCCATTTTCTCTGAGTCATAACTTTTCTATAAAGTATACTGCAGTTGCTGAGTGTTAATCTTATTCTATTAAATTCAATTAACATCTTCCAAGCCATATTTTCACCTCAACTATTAAATTTCAGATTCAGTATGTAGTACGTGAACACAAGACAAATCACTGTACTCAATGGGCTGTTTTCATGTGGTAGCAAAATAGTACCAAAAGTAAACAAACTGACTAAGTTTGGGGAGTATATTGTCATAAACACAAAAATGTGCATGTATAAAAATATATAGTAGGTATCTCATATTATAACAGAATTTTCAAAATTTGACTGATCCTACACTCCTTACTCAAGCAAAATGACTACCAAAGAGTTCAGGATTAGGTCCAAAATTATGTGACACATTATTTATGCTGAACTGTGATTTGGAAAGAAAGCTGCATCAGTACTGGAGACTGTAATCACTCAGTACCACTGCAGAGTCATTTATTGCCCTTGAGAAAGGTGTCTGTCGGTTTGAGATAAAGAAGAGAGAGTTGAATAACACAATGTGACTGTATAAAAAAAGTTTCTGTATATTACTTTACACGTATGATCTTCCATGTTTGTGGCCTAGTAGTTTAACAAGCATGATGATGGTTTGCACCAAACGGGGAAGGGTCTGTCTTTTTAGTACGCATTTGTACAGTGCCTAACTTGTGGTACTGAGCTCTGACTAGGTGCTACTGCAATACAAATAAAATAATAATAATAATTTTCTGTCAATAATGCATCTTTAACTTATTAAATCAAAACTATTTTCACTATGAACTCTGTAGGTTGTAGTTTTCAAAATGAATCCTGTTTTCAAAGTACTATTTAAACTGAAAATCTATTTATTAAATTGTAAAAACTACAATCAAATGAGGAAAGAAAATAATGATTATTCTGGATCTCTGTCTCTGATTTCTGTTTTATTCCTGTCATTAGTTTGAACCCATCTGTTTGTAAGTTGCTATTTCCGTATAACTTGCAATACATAAAAGTATACACTCATTTGGAAAATTCTGCAGAATTTTTCAGTGATCAGCTAGAACCAGGAGCAAAATGGACTTTCCCCCCAATATGTTGAAGAACAAAGATTGGATTAGTGAAAATGTAAAATGGAAAACTTTAGCATGGCAGAAGGGACCAATGGTTAGAACACCAGCTTAGGCCTTCTGAGACCTGTGTTCAATTCCCTGCTCTACCACAGACTTCTCTCTGACTTTGGACAAGTCACTTGACTTCAGGGGGCTGTAGGAGCCTAAAATACCTTTGAGGATCTTAGTTTTCGTTCCCCATCTATAAAATTGAGATAATAGCACTTCCTCACCTTCCAGGGTTGTGGTGAGGATGAATACATTAAAGATTATGCAGTACTAGGCTGATGGTGCTATGTAAGTATCCAAGACAGATAGAAAGCTGCATATATGAAAATTTATTATTCACAGGAATTAAGTAATTTTAAATTAGTATTTTGGAATCAGATTTCCATCAAACCTATGTGTGTGTTCATTTAATCTAAAACAGTTGAGCCTGTCAGTTTACTGTCTCTGCAGGCTTATTTTACTGTTGAAGGGTTATATACCACTTTCATTAATTTTTTTTATAATTTATATTATAGCAGTGTCTAGATCCCCAGATTGGGGATCAGGGTCTACGGTGCCCTAATGAGCTCACAGACTGTAATCTTATTTTCAGCTTCTTCTAAAAGAATAGAAATGAACACACCAAGAAAGTATCATAGTAAATGTGTATTGTCAGCCTTTTTTGAAGTATCTTTTGCGCAATAAATGATAGAACTGGGGGAAGGGGTAATGCCAACCCAGTCAATATCTAACAGCTTCCCCCCACCACACACAATCTTTTTATTGGAATAAGAAATGTCTTATGGTACACATCAAATGATGGGCTGTAGAGTAAGTGCTGAGGATTTAGCTCTATATAGTGCATGGTAAGTCTCTAAGGAACTGATTTTAAGCCAATTGGAGGCTTTCTATTCACTTCAGTGGGCTTGCAAACGGGTCCTGAAGTCCTGACTCTCAGAGGAGCTGACCGCCCTCAGTTCCCATTGACTTTGGTGTGAGTTGGAGTCAATAGTGTCCAGGGCTTCTCAGATGGTGGTCAGCACCTAGGAAGGTTGGGGTCCATGGCAGTTGAGCATGCTCAGAACCTTGAAAAAGGTAGTCAGCACTTTGGAGGATCAGGCCTCTAATGATCACAGTTTTATGTTAATATTGCCATGCTGTATAAAAACCTAATTGTTTTCTAAATTCCCCCTTATGTGACCCACCTCTTTTCCAAAAACCCAACATGTTCTACCTCCAATATCATTATTGCACACCTGCCCATCTGCAGATGTTCCAACAGTCCCAGTTTCGGGGGGGATAGTCTTGCTTTGCCCCCATCCCAGCTGAAGCAGAACATTTCTAACATTCAGGGCCACTAGGGAGGCAGCAGTGTGCCCCCTACCCCCAGTTTCAAAAGGCCACAAAGCAAGTTGCAGCCTGGTGCATGGAGTCATAGCAAGGGTTTGGCCCATGCTTCCTCCATCTCCTTTGGGGCAGACAGGCCAAACCTGAGTGGCACTGCACCCTTCTTTAGCCACTTGAAATGCATTGCGAGTATTCTTAGATAACTCTTGATAACATAGCAGACAATCCTTTGCCATGTTTCTTTTATCAACACTCTCAAGTGGACAAGGATAAAACATAGATGGTTTAATTTAATCTGCAGACAATATTTCATCATTTGATGATTTGCTAATAGGAACCATCTAAAAAAAGCCCCTCACTAAATAACAGAAGTTTATGCTAACCAGTAGCTACCATCTTTATTCACCAATTTTAGTTAACACTATAGTCTGGTAGATCTTTCAAGTTCTAATCTCGTCCACTTAATAGTATTAAATATTTGGGGGTAATCATGATACCCCAGCAGTCCTTACTCAGCTAAAGGGCCACACTGTACTATTAAAATAATTATAAAGTTCCAGAAATTATCAACTGCTTTTTTTTTGATGTTGCAATATCAAGAGCTCTCAAGCTTCCAATACATGATGCAATGCTTTTGCTGTCTGCTGTTAATTACACAAGCCTCCATCATCAAGGGTAGTTGGGGGTTAGGCTAGATGATCTTTGCGGTCCCTTCTAACCCTGTGGTTCTATGATTCAGAGCTACACACAATTGACTGGTGGCTTTCTATTTCTCACGCCCTCTTCGGAGATTTTTTTTTAAATTAAATTTAGCAGATTGTATTTTAGGAGTTGTCGATATCAGGGTTATCCTGCAAAAATGTCCAAAGCTAGTTAACAGACACAACGTCTTGCAAGGATGACACCAGGACTATTTTTTGGAGCGCTGCAGAAGTTGAAGATGTTGTAGCCAGGAATTCGATGGCTGTAATGATAATCCACCCCCACCTTCAGATTTTCCAATAGTTCGGAGGGCAGGCACAGTTCGAATTAGAATCATGTTGTGTTGCATTTGATTTCAGAACTCAGTAGATTTAATACATATCAGAGAGGAACTTTCCCCCACCCAGTGCAAATGGCTCTGCCGACCTCCCGGCCAGTCTTCTTGAACTAATTCAGTAATTTGCAAATAGCGGTAGGGTTTGTTTGCTTTTAAAAGGAGAGGCTCAGTTGCAACACAGCCGCACGACAGCATGCAGCAAACCATCTCCTTAGACCCCATCCCAATGTCCGCTTGCAGAAAAGACTTGCATTGCGTACAGATACACCCTACTCCTCTTCCTCCCGCCTGCCGCTGCATGGCTGGGGCCTACTGTAGGTGGACCTCTGTCCCGGCCCCGGCCGCAGCTCGAGCTGAATCCTGGAGCTCGCGTTGATGGGAGATCCAGGAGCTGCCATTGGCCAAGGGTGGGCCCCGTGCGTGCATCAGCCTCCTCCTTGTGCGTCCGTGGTTCCTATGCAAATTGCAGCGAATGCGGAAATAAACACGGGGAGGGGTGGGGGGAGGGAGAGAGAGAGACTGCCGAATCGATCGCAACTTCTGCAAAGTCTAACACAATCCAAACCACACAAGGCAAAGCCAGGGAGAGAGACTCTGAGAACCCAGCCAGCCCGGCTTGGATGGCTTTCAAAAAAGAGGAGAGAGAGTGAGAGAGAGACAGATTGCATTGCAAATCCTTCTGATTTGGGAGTAAAGTTTTTTTTTAAAGAAAGAAACCTAACCAGCAGCCTGCAATTGGCTACAGCTTTTATTCTCTTCCGGGTTTTCAACGGTTCCAAGTTTATTTTAGATATTAAAAAAAACATTGAAAAAAGTGTCAACCTATGAAGCCAATCGTCTCAGCCTTGTAAAGTTTCTCACGTACTCTTTATACATTGCAATGGTACGTGGTGCATCTTAAACTTTCTATTTCCATGTTTTTATAAACAAAGATACTGTATGTAACGTGATACTTAATAGCTATTCTATTGCCGATACATTCATTGTCAGTGATTTGCTACAAAAAAATAATGTGTAGCTGAATGTATTTCTGTGTTATGTGTGCAGGAGATAGCAGCTGTGTGGTTGGGTTTTGTTTTGTGTGTGTATATATATGCACTAGAGTTTCCTTCTTTTTTTTCCCCAGGGATTTCAGAAAACCGCTGAGCTTGACAGATTTTTTCCCTCTCCTAGCGCTTGCTTGGTTCCAAAAAGAAAAAAAAATGTACGTGCTCGGGTCTGTAAAAAGACGTCTGGCATTGGCAGCCAACCCAGCACAAAAGGAAGTGTCTAGACTTTGCGTGTAATTGACACACGCCTTCTCTAATCAATGTTGCAAAGCTCCATGATGGACTAGAGGGCTGTCCAATGAGAGAGCAGCTTGGCTGTTGCAACGTTCGAATATCCCAAATGGGAGGGAAGCTGAGAGTGGGTTGGCCTTCTCCCCCCTCAAAGTTCTTTGAGCTCAGCAGGGGCCAATGTAGTTTCAAGCTGTCAAACCTGCTGCAAACTTCCGGATTTAGCAAAGCGCGCACACACACACACAAAAGTGTTTCTGCTAGTTTAGCAAAATGCTGAGTTAGGGTAATTTTAAAACAAATTGTATGTGCTTTGCTTTGCCTTTTGCACTTTAAAATAGATTAAAGGAATGCCAGGGTGATTAGACCACCCCTCCCCCTTCCCGTTGGCATTTTTGTGAAAGAAAAAGCTGCCAGTATTTCTCATGGGAAGTCGAGAAAGGCCCCCCTCAGATGCGTTGTGTGTTACTTTTGTCACTCTATATGTGTGTACAATGGATATTAGGTGATTGCACTAGAATGTTTAGCTGACTGCAGATGTCTTTGCACATTTACTGTTAAACGGGGCCAAAATTTAGGAAGATTTAGAAAGTGCTTTGGAAGACTTGCCGTGCGCCTTCCCCTCGCGTGTTAATCCTTTGTATGGTTGTTTATGGTTTTCTTAACCCATTAGTTACTGAATGGTGAATAGTGTGTACTGAGGTGCAGGAGGTCTGTGTTGGATTTGTTCACAGGCGACTGGCAGATGTTTTAGAAAGTTGGGGTGTGTTCGCGCGCGTGGATGGCTGGGTGGGTGTGGAGTGGGGGGAGACGGAGTTAAAGCTACCATCAGGAATGTAAGTAACCCGGGACTGATGAATCTGTACGTTTCTTCCTGTTACTAGTCTTCCCTGTGCAGAAGGTGCGAGTGTAGGAGATCAGTAACACACTAACTTGGAGTCGGGCCCGTAGTCCCCTGGATATAAGTCCCTGACACAAGTCCAGTGGAAATCTATTCCAACAGCTTGTCTTGGAGACTGTAGCTGGCAGGCGATGACTTAAAATATCCGACTCCTCTTTCCCTTGAGCGATGTAGGTACTTTGAAAGTTAACTAGAAATAGGATGGGTTCTTTTAGCTCTTTGGAAATAGCTCCCCAGGAGTTGACCCCTACGTCTTCCCGTGTGCTACTTAAGGCAGATTTTGGAGTCACAAAATTCACACCTTGCACTTAGTTGTGTACAGACTGTCTTTCAAGGGTCCGTGATCGTGAGTTACTAGCAAGTGTTTTATTCCCAGAAAGCGGCTCATAGTAACCAAAGTGCAACAAAGCTGGAAAGAAAGAAAGAAAGAAAAAGAAAGAAAGAAAAAAAAACACCTCCCCTTCGAGGTAACTGGCAAAGAAATTGTTGCTTTAACAAGTACAGAAAGTGTATAAAGGAGGGGGAAGGGGACGAGTGTGGATGCTCAGCCGAGGTCTGACTTCAGTGCGCATTGGCGCCCAAGTCTAAATCATACTAATACGGCCTCACTATTAAGTACCTCCGAAATAGAAGAGAGTTCAGATGTACGTATAAGTGAACACTCATTGACGTAATTTATATATCTAAGAGGATTTCACTAACGCTGGCAAGGTAAAGTTTCTGCAAATAAAACATTGTAAATGCAATGCCGGGCAAAGTGCCAGAAAGAATATGGATAGCAGGGATCATGGTAGAAGTCTCTCTCTCTCTCTTTAAGCAGACATCCCACCGCAAGGCAGCCTATAGCACTTTCAAAATAAATGACTGAAGTCCCCATTTCCAATGTCTCCTTCCTAGCGGCTGATCTCCGGGTTTGCTTTAGTGCCTCGCTTATTTGGTGATGATTAAGGAATTTGCTTTAACTATGCTTCCCCGCCCCCACTTCTGCGTGCCTTTTAATAGCTTTATATGCCATCCAACGGTGATTTCTCTCGGAAACCCCCACCTCCCCCAGTTGCTTTGTTTGAACGTTCCTCTTGGAACTTTCACTGGGCGAAAGCAGGTTCTGGGCCAGTTGGGACCAGCGCTGTGCAAAGCTCCCCTCTCTCCTACCTTTTTCTGTAGGCTCATGATCCTAGAGTTTAAGCGTGCACAATGTGTGCTGGATTCGAGAAAGCGGATGTGAAGGGGTTTGGTGCTGAACTTGGATGCAGCCTCTGCCTAGAGGGCGCAAACAATCGTCCCACGTCCAAAAGTCTTACGAAGGGCGCCAAAAGTTACTTAAGATAATATTGCTAACCACAAAAAGCTGGAAATCGTGGAGCAGGGCTGCCTGCTGCACCGAAAGGACTGCTAGGGGCCCGATCCCGCATTCCTCGCGCACCTAGGATGCCTGTGGAGTTCATTATCTCGGAGCTCATGGAACTTCATGTTAGCTTGTATTTGGGTCGGACAGGGAATGGAGGATCGGGCCCCAGAATGGAAACTACCCCCCAGTGACTCACTTTATTCTTAAAACTATTTTTTTTATATAAAGAGATCTTACTGTGTATCCTCCTTTTTGCCGCAGGGTTCTAAATAGAGGCAAATGTAAACATTATAGCAACAAAAGAAAGTTGTAATAAGTTATAGAAGTTTTTTCTTTCTTTTTCTTTTTAAGGCATGCTTTGGTCAATATCTGCTCGCTGTGCCTCAGGTACATGTCTTGCTGTCAGCCAGAAACTTCTGTCGAGGAAACCTGAAGAGCAATGAAGTGATATATAGCAGCAAATATGTAGAGGAAAGTGTTTCTTGTCATTATTTGACTAACAGATACAGACCACTTTTTATCAAAGGAAAGCACTGAGTGAAAACAGCTCATTTTTCAGTTAGTCTAGGACATCCCCAGTTAAAGAAAGTCTTGTAGAGAACTTCCATCAAACATCGCCCTGGTAAATACCAAGAATCTCTTTTCAGTCAGCAAATTCAGTGACGTACTAGCGAGGGAACAGAAATGAAAAAGTCTCCAGTTGGAGAGAGAGGATTTTTGTTACTTTTCTTACACCAGGTTTCCTGACAGAGCCTTTTCTTTGAGCAGCAATGGGCACAGGGATTAACACTCCTGAACTTGTTGTGAAAAGGCTTTACAGTTTGAAATACAGTATCTACATCTCCCATGCACATGAGAAGCTCTGCACGCTGCATTCGATGTGTCTTGTGGAGTCTCCTTTCCTTGGGGGTGGTGGTGGTGGTGGTGGTGTTATGAATGGTTGTGGATGTGTAAGTGTCTGCAGGCTGCATGCAGCTCATTGGGAAGAGGAAGAGGAGAAGGGAGTACTCCATCCAGGAGATATATTGATGTTAAACCGGAGAGAAAATATAAGACTCAATAAAAGAGAAAAGCTAGCTGACTGGAACCTTTCCAAACCCCAAAAACCAAACCCTTCCTTGTGCCAAAACAGTACGTTATAGCCTAAATAAGTGGCTGGAGGCTCGGTTCTATTTTAAGTGCTTTACTTTTACTTGGGAAGGGGGGAGCAGAGTAAATGCAGAGCACAGGTTGTGCATTTTTTGTAAAATAAGCATCCCTTACCATACAGTGATTTATTTAAAATGGCAATCACATGCCAAGTATTAGAGATATTTGGAAAGTTTTGAACAAATTTATTCCCCCCCCACAAGGGACTTAACTTTAAAAGACATCCCAGTTGGTAAAATATTTATGGTCCTGATCCGTATTAAGGTGTGTAGATCTTAAAAAAAAAAAACCCAACCACCCAAAACCTAGTGGACTGTACCCACGCCAGGGTTATAATTCTTTAGTCTCAACAGTCCAGGAAAAAAAGAAATCAGTGAAAATTCCACGTGTAAAAAAAAGAATCTTCAAGACCTCCGCTAATGAACACGATGCCTGCAAAAAAAAAGTTTACAATGCGTAATTAAATATATCCCACTCTTCAGAGGAGCGTCTGCAAGGCGAGCAGCTGCCCCCCAAACGTTCCCAGTCTTTTACATCTGTGGAGCTACAGACGCAATGTAGAGGCTATACAATCGGTAGCCTGTATCGGTGAAGTTCCTTAGGCGATGCACGGAGTAAGGGACGCGGTGGGGGTGGGGTGGGGGGGATAGCGCTGTGGAAAAGTAGTTTTGTTTGCTGAAGCACATCCTGTAGCCTATAGCCGCCCGTGAGTCCTGCCTGTAACTGCTCCTGACTGCGTTACCCAGTAATGCACTGAGAGCGGGGATCGGGGATAGGGAGGGCTGGCCGAGCACAGCACTGCAGCCCCTCTCCCCTCCCCTCCCTCCCCCGGGCAAGGCAGCGAGCGAGCTGCTGCTGCTCTTGGTGCGGTGCAGAGCGGAGCCGGAGGCGCGCGGGCAGGTTCCCGGGGAGCCTGGAGCCTGGGCGCGCTGCTGGAAGCTGGGGGTGGGTGGGAAGTGTGTGCTATGCCTTTAACGCCTGGGTACAGTAGACATGTATAGTGTGTAGTGTAGGGAAAGTCTAGGCGGGGTTAAAGTTCAGCTCATGGAGCTGCTCAGCGCTCGCTGCAGTTTAGCAGAGTTGGAAATGTGAAAGCAAGAAGCAGGCTAGGTTCTCCCCCCCCTCCTTCTCTCTCCTCTCTCTCTCTTTCCTCTCTCTCTCCCTTTCTCTCTCTCTCTCTCTCTCACTCTCTCACACACACACCTCCAAACCACAAAAACCCCCACAGCAGTCATGTATTCTCCTCTCTGTCTCACCCAGGTAAGCAGCTGTTTGGATGCATTTGGGGCTGGTTTTGCTGGGTGGTGCGTGTGTGTATATGCACTGGGGGGAGGATGATACGGGGGGGGGGAGAAATACAGCTTTAAGAAAGTAACTTTGTTTCCATTAGGTTGCATTCCTCTTCTTGCACGGCCATTTGTGTAGGCACATGGCTAATGGCGCCTACTTATTAATGGTTTAATTAATATTGGTGGTGGGGGTTTTCTGCTCATATGCAATTTTTGGGGGGACGACCTGCACGTGTTTAGCAGGGTTGCTGCCCATGACATGCTTGGTCATCTGCAATCAATACTCACTGTTTGTGCTTCCGATGCGAGTAATGCATGAAAACATAGATGTGCTTAGGGTTATTTTTTTTAATGTAGCATTAAAAGCTGCTGCATTTTCTATTTTAAGACGTAAGGTATTGCATGGTCTGCATTGATTTCCCTCCCTAAAGTCCACACTTTTGTTTGTAAGGGTATGGTTCGTAGATGCGGTTAAGGTTTGCCTATGAGTCTCTCTGTACATTACCCATGCCTGGACCTATAGCTATATATATATATATATTGCACCTACGCATAGATCTGCAGCTATCTACATTGCCCTGATCTATAGCCATACATATATAAAATACACATTGCACCCATGCAGAGACGTATAGCTGCACGCACTGCACTCCTGCATAGATCTACAGCTGTACATACATTGTACTCTCGTGCACAGATCTATATCTCTGTAAGTACACTGCAGCCGTGCAGAGATCTACAGCTCTATACGTTGCACCCCATGCACAGATCTGTAGATGCAGCCTCTGATGGTCAAGAACGTCTAGCTCTGTCTTGCTCCCTGGAAATGTACTGCTTTGACGCGCGTTGTCACTTTCCCGGGTGTCACATTTGCCTGGATGTTTGGGGAGTGGGGGAAGTTTGGATTGCAAGTTCAGTCAGTGTTTTGCACAAAGTTGCTCGAGCCCTTAGGGCAGCAAAGTTGCCTCTGTGTTATTTTTTAACATTATTATTGCAAATGCCTTTCCCTTCTGCATACTCCCTCCCTCTCCATTGCATTGCCCTGGATCTCTGGAGTTGAAGCTTGTGTGCTGACGCCCAGCCCTAGACTTGCCCTCCATTCCGGACGGTCTCTTCCTTTCACAGCTGCTGCTCCAGCTCCTGCTGCTCCAGCTACACTTAACTGCTCAGGACTTCGGGCAACTTTTCTTCCCAGCCTCCTCTCCCTCCCTCTATACCTCCTCAGGCAAAGGATTGCGCTTTTGCTGCTTCAGATCCGGTGCTGGCATTTTTCATATTTATTTTCGCTATTAAAAGGCATGAAGCTGAACTGAGATGTGATTTTTGTTCTCTCCAAAGCTTCCCCTCCCCTCCATATAGCTCTGTAATCCTGTCTGGGATTTAGATGCCTTCTAGTCTGACTATTATTCATAAGGATGATAGTTTCTATTTAGTTCCAATTAAGTACCTTCTTCCGTCCCTTTTAATCCAGGTTATTGCAGACATTAAATTGTACACCTTCAATTAGCAGGAGATAATCGTTTGAACTGGAAATACTTTGTGGCAGACTCACACCAGAGATTATTTCCTCCTATATGAGAGCATTATTCCTATTATTTTATGTTTATATATATATATATAGAGAGAGAGAGAGTCATTGCTGGAGAATGACTGACTCTAATCATAGGAAGGGATAGCTCTTAGAAGTAGCCTGAATAGCTTTAAAAGTTTTATTTGTTCCTTCCATAAATCAATGAATTTGTGGTTATAGTATCCAAAGTGACTATAGGTTGGAACTTTACCATGGTAGTAATCTTGCAGTTGATTATAGGCAGAAGGTAGATATAGTGAATGGGCTTGTGAGCTTCCTTGAAATGCGGGGGTGGGGGTGGTGTTTCAAACTCTGTACCTTTCTGGTCAAATTTATGCCAGTTTATTAATGCAACTGGAAATACCTACTGTCTGTTGTTTCACGTTCTGGATGATTGGTGATAACATAACTTTCATAGAAGAAGCCATATACTATTATCCTTTCAAACTGCACACATGTATTCCTGTTTTAGTAGGCCCAGTGGGACATTAAGAAGAAGACTTAAGACAAATTTGGGATATTTTAAAATGCTGAATATTGTATCATTCTGTTCCAGAATTCTTGCATTCTTGTTGCACATTGGAAAAGTAGTTTAGGGATTCAAAAGCCCTCTTTTAAAACTCCACATTGAGAACGGAACATTTATGTGGCTCTATCATTTTACGTAGAAAACATACGCGAAATCATTAATAAGGGCGTAAGTAGTTTTATATATTTAATGTCAGAATTAACATAGGCCTTTTATTTAGACAAGTTTTGAAATAAATGCTTTTTAAAGTTTTGGTGAAACATTAGAGTTTTAGAGGTGAAAACATTAGAAAGTGGATTTAAAAAAAATGGTCATAAAGCACATTAGTCCAAGAAACGCAACTGAAATGACATGACTATGTACCTGACATAGAGATTTGAATCATCTATAAGGAAAATATACACAGCATTTGTTTCACTTCCCTGCTGCATATCCAGAAAATATTTTGGGCACACATGCACCTCTCTTTATAGATTTATGGCCAAACATTTCTAGGAACATGGGTTTTAGAGATTTTACCCTTGCTATATCTGACTTATTTTCAAACACATCCACGTAAATATATTGTGGAAAACAATTACTCTAAAGCATTACGTTATTTTTTTAACTCTGATCTGGATTTTAAGGCATTTTTTCAATAGATTTTACAGTTTTTTTTAAGAGTATGTGAGAATTTTTATATACATATAGTTCTAAGGCCCAGCTTTTAGATGCAGAATGTGCTTTGAAGCACTATATTGACAAACTGTGAGAAAGTTTTATGATAAAGCTTACTGTTTATCACTGTCTTTTAAAAAAATGTATTAAACACATTAGTGGTAACTTTTATTTTTTAGAATAATCTTTAATTGTTAAGGGAGATAACAGTGCCTTTAAACTAAACTTTTGAAATATTTTTTAACTTAACCTGAGAAAAGGCAAAAATAATCTTATTTTCTTTAAATTTTTATATTTTGCCGTGATCACGTGATCTGACCTGCACACGTATGAATACTTGTTCTTGCATTGCTACATTTCAGAAAGTTGTTTGGTATTATAACATTGAAACAAATAACTTTGTTATGTAGAATAAAAGATCAAATTCGGTTGGATTAGTAGTGGATTCCTTTATCCCTGTTCATATTTTGCTAATACCATGTCACTGAGATTTAGGTAGGTTGATTTTACAGGGCAATATGTTTATGAAGACAGTTCGAAATACTGGATGAGTTAGTCTGTCAGTCTTCTGTTCTTGAATTAACCTTTTTGTTTAGTACCTCATTTTGAAAAATCACATTAGACTGCTTATGTGATTATGTTATGTGTATATATATGTGGTGTAGCATGTAGCAGTTTAATACACACTAATTACTGCTTAAAATTATATCCTGGTCTTTAGGCCACATAATGGTTCTGAGCTTTTTTAAAGTCATCCCTGTCCTGTTCCTTTCTCCCCGCCCCCCTTTCAGGTTCTCTGTAGCTCATCTTTAAGACAGATTAAAGGAACTGTATTTTAGATAGTATCCAGCCTAGGTCCAAAAAAAGTCATGAGCATATGGGATCAGTCAATAAAAAGTACTGTTGAAAGCAGAAAGTTAAATATTTCTGGATAAACCAAGATGTATTTAGAATTTGTTAATGCTTAAAACAATCCTCCATTTCAATGTAGGTCTTTTCAGCGAATTGTGTGTATACCTTAGCAGATAAACTTTGACTTTGCAGAAGGCCTTTTCGCACTATCGGCTCTTCTAAAAGGAGGAGCGGGGGAGAACATTTAAGGATCAGAAGTGTGGTTTTATTATTTTTAATAGCTTCTGGTGAACTGCAGCTTTTACCGTTTTTTCTTCTAAAGCTATTTTTCATTTGTGAAAGTGCAGCTACACGTGTTATGTTTGCTGCCTTCTCTTACTTTTTGAATCTACTGACCGAAAGCTAGCAGCAATTTTTTTTTTGTACTTTATTGAAATTTGAAACCAGAATCTTCTCCAACGGGAGGGAGAGGGGAAGTGTCACTCACCAAAGTTATTGTATTTTTACATATGATGTTTTAGTAATCATTCATATTTGTAATGACTCCTGCACTGTCGTGCTGCATTGAATATCTCTCTTTCATTTTCTGTAGTTTCTAACAATCTCCATTTTTTTCTGATATAAATGATCTAATGTTGTGTATCGATTTTAATATTTACATTTTAGGAACCACAGAGAATACATGCAATTAAGCCATTTAGAAAGCTAACACAAGGTCTTGAATTGTAACAGGATTTTGCTCATAGAATGTTCCTATCACTGATTTCTCGGTTTTGCCTATATTTGTTTGAGCAGCAAAGCCTATTTAAAAAACAAAAAAAGCCATTGGAGCTGTAGAATAAGTATATTTTAACAATGTTATTTTTAAGGTTATGAAATGATTTTGATACGTGACATACTCTACATGTGAATATAAAAGAAGAAATTCAGTTAAACGGGAAAAAAAACAACAACCCTGTTACCTTGCAAGAATGGACATAAATTAGAGTTTAACATGGTGTAGGAAGCTTTGTGCAGTTTCATGGTGGGTTTATTTTTTTTTTGCCCCGCAGGGCCCAATCCTGCAAATGGGAGTAACTTCATTCATGGGAACTGTCCTATCGACCTCATGAGTGAAATTAGTCCCTTGCATACTCGTTTGCAGAACTGGGTCCTTAAAGTGTACATGCTTTTCTATAGATAGTGTAATATTCTGTAACAGTATTACGTAGAGAAACATAACAAGCAGAATATAATGAATTATAACATGTTTTGATCTCCCTGTCTGATTTATGTAGTACTTTTTAGGTATATTTATTTATTTAAAAAGTTGAATATATGGATCTTTCTTGCCACATATTTATTCAGGTTCAGGAAACTTTTTAATACTGATTATTTCTGTTTCAAGTAAGATGAGTGAACTTAAAATATTATTACTGAAGGCAAGTGATGTTTTCAGGTGGAGAAAAGTATTATAAATGTGGTAAATTCTTTTAAAATATATTAACAAAAATAAAACAAAATGTATTAACAAAAATAAATCATTTTTTGAGTTTGGATCACTGTGGCAATGCTAAGATTTTGTACCTTAATATTTACATAGAAGCTTCCCTCTCTTTTTTTTTTATTAAATAGAAGGCCGTCAGAACTTGTCTTGTATCCATGGCATAATATCACATTTATTATTTTTGGTAGGCTACATATAAACCAAACAGTTTTTTTAAATTATAAGGGTAGAGTTTAAGTTTTTAATGCTGTTTACTGTTAGGCATGCTGGAGAAATTTGCAAACTGGTTACATTATTTACTGTTTCTAGTGGTACAGTAGACAGAGATTAGAAGCACCTTGTATTGTATTATAAAATCACTTATACTGAAATTTTATTACACTGCAGATTGTCATTTCCAAATATGTCTTAGGGAAAGTTTTGCTGTATTTCAGACTTCCCCATACAAACATTGATTGGCATCCAAATGTTTAGAATTTGCCAAATTGGCGGGCATATGCTGGCTACACCACAAGCAGTGGGGTCAGGGAGAGAGCAAAGTAAGATATGCATTCTTTGAAAATGGATTAAGGTCACTACACTCGTGTATTTTTAAACTTTTATTTTATTTTATTTTTTAATGATTTTAAATTTTAGGACTGAGTCTAATAGTTACAGAATCTTCCTCACACTTATGTGTATTTTAGTTGTTCTCTACCCTCTGTGATAGTGGTGTCATATTCTTTAGGCTGATATAATATTGAGAAAGGGTTTATATATAGATATGTATATCTGTAGATATAGTATGTTTGTGACTGTGTATACAGACGCTCCCCGACTTACGTAAGCGTTCTGTTGCGGAATGCCTTGTGTAACTCAAATTTTGCGTAAGTCGGAAATGTATTCCTGACCATTATGCAAAAAAAACCCCCCAAACCCTCCTATTTCTAGCTTTTGGAACTTTTTCCGTAAGTGCGGATTTGCGTAACCCAGGGGGCGTCTGTATACATCTATTCCATATATGTGTTAATATGTGCGTGAGATTACAAAGGTGCTTGTGTTTTCTGCACTGCATAGTATATACACATTGTCAAGCGGATAGAAATTTCTCGTGTTAAAATAGTATTTTAAGGAGATGTTTTGAACTTTGTGACTGATTTGTTTGTGTTTTCATGACATCAGTATAATTCTTTATCATTTTTCCAGGATGAATTTCATCCATTCATTGAAGCACTTCTGCCTCACGTCCGAGCATTTGCATACACGTGGTTCAACCTGCAAGCCCGAAAACGAAAATACTTCAAAAAACATGAAAAACGTATGTCAAAAGAGGAAGAGAGAGCAGTGAAGGACGAATTGCTGAGCGAAAAACCTGAGGTCAAACAAAAATGGGCATCCAGACTTCTGGCAAAGCTACGGAAAGATATCAGGCCTGAGTACCGAGAGGATTTTGTTCTCACAGTCACAGGAAAAAAGCCTCCATGTTGTGTTCTTTCCAATCCAGACCAGAAGGGCAAGATGAGAAGAATTGACTGCCTACGCCAGGCAGATAAGGTCTGGAGGTTGGACCTTGTTATGGTGATTTTATTTAAAGGTATTCCGCTCGAAAGTACTGATGGCGAACGCCTTGTAAAGTCCCCACAGTGCTCTAACCCAGGGCTGTGCGTACAGCCACATCATATAGGAGTTTCTGTTAAGGAACTCGATTTATATTTGGCATACTTTGTGCACGCAGCAGGTAAGTGCATTTATGCAAAGTTGTCCAACTTTCTGTATATCTACAGTCCTCTGCTGTACCATCTGAATTGAGTGTTATGACCAGTCAGAGACCGTATGAGTCAGTGTTTGAACTTGGGAGAATATGTGCCATGTAAATGTGGTTGGCAGCATGGTTTTAACGCCAGTTCCAGGCCTGACAAATAAGAGAATCTACACCAATATACTCTGGTTGAGAATGGACAGGTGTTCTCACACTTTCTGTTGCCTTTAAGAAGTAATAGTGTCAAGATATGTTGGTTTTCCAATACTAACAGCAATCAAATCTTTGGCACATCTAAACTGCTTTCAGAAGTGGCCGACATTAATATTAGCACAGGAAATGTTAAAGGCTGTCTTTTAGAACTATGTAGAGGCCTGTTTAAAATGGACCTTATTTTAATATTGGTAAAAGAAAGAAGGTAGCGGAACCTTTTTTTAAACTGGCTTTGTATGTGTGTTGTGTCGTGTAAAGAATAAATTCAGGGAAATAGAAGTGTCAAAAGCCCAATGGTGGTAAGGCCCAATGCAAGACCCGTGAGTGCCTTCAGCTCGTATTGACGTGGGTGATAGTTGAAGGTGCTGAGCACCTTGCAGGATTGGTCCCAGAGAGAAAAGCAAAGAAATCATACAAATATGTAAATATAATAGTGCAGTGTGAATTGTGGCTAAAATAAAGGCCTTTGGTATCAAATGGGGAAAGTAAGGTCAGTGTTAAAAATGTAACTAGCACACAATAAATGAATTCACTTAGAATCTGACTGAAACTAAGAACTGATGGCTTGTTTGACAGTATTGCATTCAGGAGAGCGGAAATGTTTTTACACGTCATGAAATTCGCAATCTTGTCTGTGACTCCAATTCAAACCACACCCTGCCTGTGAATATTAGTATATTCAGAGGCTACCTAATAGGTCAACTGGATAAATAACATGCAGTAGCATTTCTTTTCAATCATTTTGTTTCTGAAAAAGTTGCGGTGTATGAAATGTTAGGCCCAAGTTTTTGGAGCTTGTTGACTTTTCATATATACGTACTAGTTTTGCTGGATTTCATTCACAGTAGTAATTTAAGCCGGGAGTTGAAAATGGGGGGAAACAAAGAGACGTCAGTGGACTCTTATCAATAGAAACTTAATAAATATATAATAATAACAATAATAATAATATAAATCTTGCTAAAAGAAGAGAATACATCTATTATCTAGCATTCTTTTGGGGTGATACATGAAGTGCAGACTATCCAAAAGTTGCCTGCAATAAATCAATATTCGTTGCGATACATAGTATCACTTCAGTAACTTTATTGATCTAAAAACAACAAGGAGTCTGGTGGCACCTTAAAGACTAACAGATATACACTATAGTTAGAAGGAACCTTTGGCTAGCATTGTGATATTTTACATAGTTAAGCTGTGAAACTTTGTAATTAGATGTGATTTGATCAATCACACTTCACATTGCTGGGGAAGAAAATGTAGGCAAATATTACAGGAAGAGCGATTGATTTACTACATGGTATGGTGAAATGGGAATGACCAATTCATGTAGACTTACATTTAGCACTAGTGTTGTTTAGTTAGTGTTATGTTTCATGAATTAAATGCAGGCTTCTGAAAAGGACTGTGAATTGTCAGCAGAAACCAGTGACCTCCTACCTTAAAAACTTAAATACACATTATCGTTTTTGTCCGTCATTCTGTATATGTCTAGGTAAAATATGGTTGAGAGACAGAGAGAGACAAGCAGCTAAACTAAGTACATATGTAATATAAGGAGGCCTAAAGTGATAGTTTTTTCTGTTATGGCAGTCACACATTAGATATTTAAAGAGTCTAATAATATTTTGATTAGCAGCATACCATCTTATCAATATGACAGTGGTAACAAACAGACCGCAGTTGCACTTACTGTTCTTTGGACTAAACCTTTGCCACAGGAACTTAAACATTAAACTTAATCTTTATTTACATTTATAGCCTCTTTTAAACTGTAAACCTCTCACTCTAACTATACAATTTAATATTTTACCTGTTGCTTACTGATTGTATATATTGCATTACACTGTTAATGCAGTAGTTTGTGCTAGGATGTTAGCAAATCTAATCATAAAGTGGGACAAAATGGTTGTAAAATGATATTTAGGAAGCATGCAGTGTAGTATTTGCCTTAAAAAGACGTAATGAAAGCAACATGGATAAGGCTACCTTTTGGTTTTTTTGTTTTCCTCTGATGCATCCCAGAATTCTTTGTTACACCTGAACACTGGCCAAGTCAACGGTGATTGGTTCTCACAGAACCGCAGTAATGGCAGCTAATGCTGTGTGCGCAACGGGAAAATGACAAAAGAAAATAGTAAGCATCCTTTGTCTCAGAATATTTCAGACTTGATTTCAGAGATTTACAGACCTGTTATTTATGCCGAGGAAGTTGCCAACACAAATATTAGGTAGGTTGGTCAACTTACATATAGCTGATTTGACAGGCATCTGCTATAGTGCAGAAGATTTGTAAACACTAAACAATGTTTTTACCTCCTTAAAAGTTTTGAGAAGTTGCCAGTATTGGCAGGAGGCACAGACTTTGAAACGTGCTTTAAGATACGTGCCAAAACCATTGTGGCCTTTTCACCCATAGTGCTTGCTTCTTTTTAATATTTATTTGTTTATTTATTTAATAAATTATTTCTGTTCCACTATGCCTTGTTCTAGATGATTTCAATAGTGAGATGTTCCTTTCCATCTAAACGTGTACAATAATTATTGCTTTGAGTCCAGGCTTTCTCTTTAGTTGGACACTGTCATCTATAAGAGAATACATGTGCCCAGATTTAAATAATGCTTCTGACAAAGCAGATTCAGCTACAGAAATGAATTATTCTCTTTTAAGAAGTACTATATAAAGAACAAGAAAACTCAAGTATGTGAATACACAAGCTGCATGCCATTTTTCTAAGAAAATAAGGAATGTCGGTGTTTTCTGAATTAGGTGACCAAAAATGTATTGAACTATAGAGCATCATCTCCAATTTGCAGTTTGTAACCTGTTTAAGAAAAGTATTCTCATACCCTTAACTTGGGTTGGCTTTTTAATTTTTCATTTATTCTGCACATATATCAAATGACAACTTGGAAACCACTGTGGCAAACCGTTTTCTTTGTGGGAGTGTAACAGTAAAGCTAATTTATGACCAGTTCTTTACCAGATGATCTGTATCAGAGTCTACAATAAACCAGGCACGTGGCAAGGTCACAATTTAAGTTGTTAAGGTCATAACCTTAGCCACCAGGCATTTGACCTTTTAGATAAAGTTAACCTTTGTTCATTAGTAAGCACTCAACCAAGAACTTTCTTGATTTTTTTACTGCTTCAGAGTTACTTCTGCTAATGTGATCAGATTGTAGAAAAGATTCGCAGCTGAAGTAGTTAAATTTTCTGAGAGGTCATTTTTTTTACAGACTTCTTGAGTGGACAAAGCTAGGTTGTAATCTATAGGCCACAGAGTGATAACAACACAATACTTGATTTTTTGACAGACATTATCCACTTTAGGCAAGCATTAAAGCTAGCTAGAAATTTGCCACTCAGAATCTTTTAATCTTTAAGACGGACATTTAAAAATGCTTAATTTTAATAAATCTGGGATTTTTTCTAATTTTAATAATAGTAAAAAATGAAGCCAAGGTGGAAACAAGACGTCTAATGTATTTGTGTAACTGTGAAAGTTTACTTCTCATTGAAATACCTTCTGTGGATAATTTACTATGTACAATAATACTATGTACACATGACTTTAAACTTAAAGATACATTTTATGTTGTAATTGGTGGCATTTTAATATTTAGGCTTAGGCTATAATAAAGGAGTATCAATTGAAATAATGCATATACAGGAAACATACTTGCATATATTCAGAATATCAGTGTAAGTATCTTTTAGTTCCAAGTCAGAAAGGTACATAACACTTTGCGCCATCATCTTTTAGTGCAATTGTTACTGATTGTTACTGCATTAATCCTGTTAATAGCTTCAGTTGTTCAGTATGTATCTATAATGTGAAAGGTGTTCTAACAGTACTGTACATCATAAAAAGAGCTGTCGCAGCGTCCTGAACCCCTGATACGTGCTCTGCAAAAGTCTAGTGTTTTATTGTGTAAAGTGTTACCGATTACCACATTACATACACCGTATTGTTACCTTAACTTTGTTGTAGTGAAAGCTCATTTTTAATTACTTAGGTTACTTTCTTGGTGTTCTCTGAGACAGCATTTATTATTTAATTTAAATCAAAAGACAGAGTCCACTGTTAGTTTTTGATGCATTTTGTTTTTATTTTGGCTATGTTATTGCCATTCCATCATACAGATAGCCACGATATGCAGATTGGCCAGATGGTCGTGTTAACAGATTGAGAACCCGCTTCCCACTGCTAAAGAGCAGGTGTAAGATCAGTAGGGTTTTTTTTTCCTCCCAAGATTCATCCCAAATGCTCATTAGAATAGTGTTTAATGATTTAAAAAAAAGGCCACATTTCAAAATATCATCATATCTGTCATTAAGTAAATGTGTAATGCTCTCTGCAATTTATATGTATATCTGGAGATATTTTAAGCATATCCTCACTATGAGACTGTTGGAAATTGACTTCTAATTCATGACTGTTGAAGTCCAGCGTATGTCAAAAGCAATCTTAAACGTTTCACACGTGAGGTTGGATGTTAATGACACACATGCATTACTTCATTACTGGTCTGCGTGTGCAGATCCAAAGGAACCTGGTTACGTCAATATTCAGAAAATCTCTTAACGTCTCAATATTTATATGTTTGTTTTTCATGGGTCTTCTTGCCATAGAGAAACATTTCTGGGTTAAAAGTAATATGAGATGTAGTGCTCTCAGCGTATTTCCACCATCAAAGAAGATCAGATCTTGTATTATTTCAAGCCCATAAAAGGCTCCCATTAAGAAAAGAAACCTGCAGAA